ACTCACCTCAGCCTCCCAAAGGCGCGGGATTACAGGCTGAGCCACCCAGCCCGGCTTGGTAACTACTTTTAATAAAAGTCATTGTTAACCCTGGAATTTTTTTTATCATTTCCCAATTATTTATTATACCTATCCCCAAATTTACCCAGAGGCTGACATGGAAGGATGACTTGGGCCCAGGAGTTCAAGACCAGCTTAGGCTATATAGCAACGCCCCATTTCTGGAAAAAAAAAAAAAATTAGCTGGACACAGTATCATATATCTGTAGTCCCAGCTATTTGGGAGGCTGAGGAGGGAGGATCATTTGAACCCAGGAGATCATGGTGCAGTGAGTTATAATCACACCACTGCACACCAGGCTGGGAGACACAGGGAGACCTCATCTCTTAAAAAAAAATTCAAGAATTTTCATCCTCTGACAACTCCATGGTAATTCTGGAACTGCTGTTTTTTGATAAAGCGATTCAAGCAATCTCCTAGAAGCTGCAACGCAAGGAGCATCCTCGTCCATCTCTTTGGTGGCTTACATCGCTGCGAATCTGATTGCCTTCCTGGCTCTGCTGTCCTTTCTGAATTCAGCCCTGTCCTGGTTTGGAAACATGCTTGACTACCCGCAGCTGAGTTTTGAGGTATAATTCTATCATGCCTCTGCCTTTTTTGCTTCCGCCTATCTCTACTTAAAAATAAAACAGGTTTCCCTAACTACATACAGCAGATTCTCACGCACTGTAGAAGTTTCCCGTGTATCCCGCAACTTCTCCACCACCTCTCGTCTGTGTCCTGTCACCTTCCTCTCCCAGACAGCAGTCGTTCTCTCCTGATCCCGTCCCCAGGCATCCTGGTTACTTCACATACTCCGTTCCAGCCTTGACTCCTGATGGATCAAGACGGGCAAATGAAGGAATTTCCATGCCCAGAGGAGAAACAGGGGGCAGCGACAGTCTTGGTGCCAAGGGGAACACAGAAGAACCAGAAGCAAATTGCCATTCTAATACAGTGTCTACTTTTGGTTTCTTAGCTAATATGCTCCTACATCTTCATGCCCTTTTCCTTCATGATGGGAGTGGACTGGCAGGACAGCTTTATGGTTGCCAAGCTCATAGGTTATAAGACGTTCTTCAATGAATTTGTGGCCTACGAGCACCTCTCAAAACTGATCCATTTGAGGAAAGAGGCTGGGCCCAAATTTGTGAATGGTGTGCAGCAATATATGTCGGTGAGTAAATATTTTGAGTGTGCTTCTTTTTTATCACCTACCTACATTCATCAAGGATTTGTGCATCTGTGTGTACCTGGGATGTGTCAGAGAACAAAACAAACCCCAAATCCATCGTCTCGTGGAGCTGACGATACACATATCACCTCACAATTAATCATTGTGTGTGTATGTGTGTGTAGAAACCAAGGTAGTCCTTACCACTGTGAACATCGAGGCTAGAGAGAGAGGGAAAATGCACGCTTGCATCATGGGTCTATTTTTGAGGACTGTGGACACAGCCCCAGAATCATAAAGCTGGGACTGAAATTCATCGACCAGCATTTATTGAATGCCTTCTGTGTGCCATGTGCTAGATATTGAGGCCCAAGCATTGAATCAGTCATGGAGCCCCTACCCTGATCAGTCATGGAGCCCCTACCCATGACCATCCCTTTAGTGGTCATAAAGGCCTCTCACTTCCAGTTTAAGGGATTTTATAAACTCTGAGAAACTGCCTAAAGACATCATGCCCAGACATTCTCAAGAAGTAATCTGAGTCCATCACTGCTCTCCACGTGGATGAGTGAGAGAAAAGGCTCAGAGTCTATGATCTTGAGATTGGCACCCATAATTATGTCAGCACTTTGGGCCAATAGCTGGCAAGGAGACGCCCACGCCTGCCTGGCCTTTGATGGGATGAGAAACTCAGGTGAAGCCACGTTTGCCGCCGAGTCTCCACTTTTCCCCCTGGAGAACAGAATTCGGTTTTTTTGTTGTTTTTGTTTGTTTGAGTCAGGGTCTCACTCTGTCGCCCAGGCTGGAGTGCCCTGGCATGATCACAACGATCATGGCTCAAGGCAGCCTCAACCTTCTGGGCTCAGGCAATCCTTCCACTTCAGTACCCTGAGTATGTCTGAGTAGCTGGGACTACAGGCATGCGCCACCATGCCCAGCTAATTTTTTTGTTTGTTTGTTTGTACAGATGAGATTTTGCTGTGTTGCCCAGGTTGATCTTGAACTCCTGGGCTCAAGCAACCTGCTCACCTTGACTTCCCAAAATGCTGGGATTACAGGCATGAGCCACCGCACCTGGCGAAGAACAGAATTGTCACACGTGGAAATTTAGGGCAATGATGGACATTCCCGGCCACCGCCATTTCTCACTGAAACAACTCATTTAGAATTAATGGCCCAGGCATGAATTTGATTTTAAAAGTAAACTGGGGAGGGGGGGAAGCATGATGCTCAAAGTTCTCATTGAGTCTTCTCAATCCTGAATACCACCACCCTCCCTCACAGCCTCCCAAAGATCAAACTTGCAGACTCATTCCCACATAATGCACAAATACACATAATACACTCCAGGAGAGCACTGATCCATATTTTACAGACTGGGGCATTTTGACCCACACGTGTGAAATGAGCAGGGGCCCTGTAGATGTCCCTGTTTCCTCGCGTTCAGCTTGGCCAATTTTCTTCATTGTCTGGATGCCACCAAAGCCAGTCTGTTTCCCTGCCAAAAGTAAACAATAGGCTACATTAAGTGAGATGTTTTCTATCCCCAACTGCCAGTTGCTAGGAGAGAAGGGTTTTACCAATTAGCATAGCCGGCTCTCAGTTCTGGCGATGCAAAGCAGTTTTGTGGAAAGGTGATTACAAGGGTGGAGACAGAACAGTCAAGCTGATTGGGTTCTGGGGGCGAGCCCAACCAACGGCAGACGCAGAGAAGACGTTTGGAAATGGGAACTCAGTGGCCTTTGCTATTGTTGAGTCACCATGGGAAAGGCATTTTGTTTCTCCAAATTTCTGATTTCCAACCAACAAAATACAGATGAGTCCCTGCATTTTTTATTTACCATCCCAGAAGCGGGGGAGGACGTCCCCAACAGACTCCTGGAAAAGGAGCCACATGATTGAAGCATGCCCTGTGAGTCTGTGAGGCAAAACCCCAGCGATATCCACTGAATCATGCCTGTGCAGACATCCGTCTGAGATAAGAGGCAGAATTCAATGGAGTACTCCATGTACCTAGGACGAGCTCTTTATTCCATCGATTCCTCTCTCTCTCTCTCTCTTTCTCCCTCCCTCTCTCTCTCTCTCTCTCCCTTTCCTTTCCTTTCCTTTTTCATTTTTTTTGAACTGGAGTCTCACTCTGTCACCCAGGCTACAGTGCAGTGGTGCCATCACAGCTCACTGCAGCTTTGACTTCCTGGGCTCAGATGCTCCTCCCACCTCGGCCTCCCAAGTAGCTGGGACTACAGGCACATGCCCCCACACCCAGCTAATTTTTTAATTTCTTGTAGCAGACAAAGTCTCGCTGTGTTGCCCCGGCTGGTCTCAAACTCCTGGGCTCATATGCTGTTGCTGCCTCGGCCTACCAAAATGCAGGGATTACAGGTGTGAAACACCACACCTGGCCTCTCTTAAAGAAATACTTGTCTGTTTGTTCATTTGTTTACATGTTAACACATACCGTGCTATAGAATATAATAGGTCTTCAGGGCACAGTGGCTCATGCCTATAATCCCAGCACTTTAGGAGGCTGAGGCCAGAGAATCATCTGAGTTCAGGAGTTCCTAGGCCAGCCTAGGCAACAAAGGAAGACTTTATCTCTACAAAAAATTTAAAAATAAGCCAGGCATGATGGCGTGTGCCTGTAGTCCCAGCTACTTGAAGCTATTCAGGAGGCTGAGGAGGGAGAATCACTTAAACCCAGGAGTTTGAGGCTGCAGTGAGTCATGATCGTGCCACTGCACTCTAGCCTGAAAGACAGAGTGAGACCCTGGCTTAAAAAAAAAAATTCAAAAGGTGGAGGGAAGAGGAGGTCATCCTCCTTTCTCTGCCACCCACCCAGCCCTTCTCCCTGAAGCACTTTCTGCTTACTGGCTTAACCTCGCCCTTTGCACCTAAAAACACGTCTCAGACATTTTTCAGTATCAGTGCCTAGAGCAGAGCTTTCTCTGGCACAGCACACTATAACTCATCATCAGCAATCCCCTGCTGATGAATACTGTTACCCATTTTTTGCTAGAGATAGCGCTGCCATGACCATGCTGGTACATCTAGCATCTTTGCTCCTGTGTACACAAGCAGAGCTACAGGGTGGGTCGTTATTTTCCACATGATCTCTTTCCATCATGGCATCTTGCACATTTGTGGGCAAATGCGAAGTGGACTCATCCCAGCCTCCTTCTCCTTCTCTTTGAAGAGCAATCATGGCCACTTGTGCATATTCCTCCCCTTCCCGCAGACCCCGGGAACGGGAGAGGGCAGTCTCAAGCCCTTACCACCCTCTCTCTCCCCACAGTCTCTCAATAAGCGTGACTGTTTTTGAAGCCAATTGAACAAAATGGAAAGCACTAGAAAAAGCGGGAGTGAGGACAGCTCTTCCAGGAACCGTGGACTGTGCAAATACTTGAAATTTTTTTTCGTGCTTGCCATGTGTGCACTGATTGAACATATCAACAAAGGAGTTCTCAGAAACCAAGAGAGAGAAGAGAGGCCTTAGAATCAACAAAAAGCTTACCGGGACCACTCGAGTCTTGAATGGGAGCTTTCAAAAATCCAGTGAGCGAAAGAAAAATAGGTACTGCTGCTTTTGAGTGTAGCATTTGTTTGGTTTGTTCTTTGAACCAAATCGCAGTGTTTTGAGGACATTGGAAAAGAAAAATGATTGCCCTGTACCTCTGTGGGTGCCTGTATCACATTGGGTGTGCCTGGGTGGACAACAGAGGCCACTGAATATTTGAGCCTCCCATCATCAGTCCTCAAAGAAGGAATTATTTGGCCTTAGCAGCACCTCTTGAGCCAGAGGCCATGCATGTGTTCCACGAATCCACCTTCCATTTGTTCACTGTCCTATGAAAGGGCTGTTTGTCCTCTCACTTCCAAACCAGCATTCTCACATTCCCACGGGGTGGTCAGAGCTGAGGTCCAGAGGAGGGCATGCACACACCTTGGCCGACTGTAAGGAGGCTCCTGTGATATACCTGAGAATTTACTTTTTAGTAGTTCAGTTCCTTTAAAATTATATCCTTTCTTACTGTGTTATAATTAACATACCAAATCATGGGCCTATTTTTGGTGTCACCTGTGTAATCACAACAATCAAGAAAGAGACCATTTCTCTCTCACCTAAAAGTTTCCTTCCTGGTCATTTGTAGTCAATGATCTGTCTCTCATCACCCAAGACCTAGTCCCAGGCAATCAAAGTTCTTTCTTTCTTTGTAAATTACTTTCACATGTTCTAGAATTTCATATAAATGGACTCAGCCTTCATGTTGTTGCATGTATTCGATACTTTGCTCCTTTTTTTCTTCTTTTCTTTTTCTCTATTTTTTTTTTTTTTAAATCAGAGGGCTCACTCTGTCGCCCAGATAGCGTGAAGTGGTACAATCATGGATCACCACAACCTTGACCTTCTGGGCCCAGGCAGTCCTTCAGCCTCAGCTCCCAAATAGCTGGGACTACAGATGCGCACCACCATACCCTGCTAATTTTGGTTTTTATTTTGTTTTGTTTTTGTAGAGATGAAGTCTTGATATGTTGCCAAGGCTGGTCTCAACTCCTGGGCTCAAGCAATCCTCCCACCTTGGCCTCCCAAAGTGCTGGGATTACAGGCATGAGCCTCTGTGCCTGGCCTGTTACTTCTTTTTTTAATTGCAAAACAGTATTCTAGTCTATGAATATCTACAGCTTGTTTATTCATTGGTCTGTGGAAGGACATTGGGTTGTTTCCAGCATGAGGCTATTATGGATAAAGCTTCTATAAATATTCACGTATGGTCTTTTTGTGGGCAGGTGTTTTTATTTCGCCTAGAAAAAATTGTTGGGTCATACAGGCAATAGATGCTAACTTGATAAGAGGCTGCCATACTGTTTTACAAGCAGGCTGTGCTATTGTATATTGCCACCGGCAATGTGTAAGCATTCCATTTTCTTCACATCCTTGTCAACACTTAGTATTGTCAGGTTTTTTTTTTTAATTTTAGCCACTTTGGGGGATGTGATTTCTCACTGTGGTCTTAATTTGCATTTCCCTGGTGACTGATAATGTTGAACAACTTTTCGTGCGTTTATTGTCCATTTGGATGTCTTTTGTATCCACATCTCTCTATCCATTTTTCTTTGGATATTTTTCTTCTTATTGTTGGGCTATAATAGTTCTTTACATATTCTGCATAAGTCCTTTGTCAAATAAATGTAATGAGGATATTTTCTGGAACCCATTTTGTATTTTCAGCAACTAGTACTATGCCTAACACATTTTAGTAGGTGACCTGCTCGTATGGAATATTCGAGGTTATCAGTGAGCAGGAAGTAGCGTTTGAAGAAGCCAGGGCTGCCAACTTCAAGCCTTTTACAAAGAGTTCATGAATCCTCACAGCCCCTTCCCAATCTCCCTCAACATTCAAGGGAATTGAGTAAAAGGAGTCTAGGAAACGGTGTGGGTATTTGACACCACATACTGTGCGCTCACTTGTCCATGTTGAGTCTGTAGTCAATGAAACCCAGTTGGATATCAGATGTGTCAAGCCGGATGCTGGGTTAGATCATGTATACATGTGTGTTTATGCCTGCTTACAGATTCGTTCCGAGACAATCGCCACCTATGCTCTCTGTGGTTTTGCCAATATCGGTTCTCTGGGAATAGCGATCGGTGGACTCAGTAAGTGAAAACATTCCTCAACAACAGATGTCAAGTAAACATACCTGGACCTTCCATCTTGCTCTTTCATGGTCTTCATGTCAGAAAAAAAGACCCTTGCCACAGTAGTAAGTCCTCTGGGATCTTTTTGTTGATGTTGAGGTCTCACTCTGTCGCCCAGACTGGAGCGCAGTGGCACAGTCATGACTCACCACAGCCTTGACCTCCTCGTCTCAGGTGACCCTCCCGCCTTGGCCTCCCAAGTAGCTGGGACTACAGGGGCATACCACCATGCCTGGCGAATTTTTAAATTTTTTGTAGAGATGGGGTGTCGCTATGTTCCCCAGGCCGACGCCGGTGGCATGATCATGGCTCACCACATCATCAATCTCCTGAGCCCAAGTGATCCTCCTGTCTCAGCTTCTCCTCTGTAGCTGGGACTACAGGCAGATACCACCACACCCAGCTAATTTTTCTATATTTTGTAGAGGCAGGGCCTCACTATATTACCTAGACTGGTCTTGAACTCCTGGCCTTAAGTCATCCTCCCAACTCAGCCTCCCAAAGTTGGATTACAGGTTTGAGCCACTGCACCTGGCTTCCTCTGGGTTCTATTTTTTTTAATCTCTGCTCTGCAATGTTGTTTTCCTGTGTACACTCAAACTAAACTCAGGAAGAATTTTCTCAAAAATTTACGTGTACTTCTCCCAACCCAGGGATGACACATACTCTTCACCTTGATTGCCAGTGCCAATAGATTTATAATTGCCAACTGGGGAATGACTCTGAGAGCGAGTGGAAGTTTAATGGAAAAGTGCTGTGATACATCATTGATGTCTGCCATAGGTGTAGAAGTAGACGATGACGGTTGAGTCATAGATCTTTCCATGGACGGTTGAGCCATAGATCTTTCCATTAGCGGATGTCTCCTTGCCACCCCATTTGCCTGGCCATTCCCTCAATACACTGTGAGCCCTTTGGATGAAACTTAGAACTTGTTTCTTCTACGGACGCCTCTGAGCCTTTGGGGAAAAGGGTTCTCTTCCCTTCCTCCCATCTCAGACAACTTCCTGGAAGTAGAGTTCATCTCTAAGTTCTTGAACCTTGAATGTCCCAGCTGAGTTTAAAAAAAAAAAAAAGAAGTCAGTTGACCTGCAACTCCGGCCCCAGGACAATTTTCAGAGACTGGGAATTAGGATATCTAATCAATACCTCAACTTTCATCTCAGTACCTCCTTCCTTGTTTCTCAGCATCCATGGCTCCTTCCAGAAAGCGTGACATCGCCTCAGGAGCAGTGAGAGCTCTGATTGCGGGAACTGTCGCCTGTTTCATGACAGCCTGTGTCGCAGGTACCGCGCCCTGTCCTTTGTGCCTCAGATACTAGGGTCTCCAGCCTATACGTGCAATACTTGCTGCTGTAGAAAGCTGAGAGTCAGGGCTGCTGTTAAGCGTGTTGTCAAGCTCAATGTGCAGAGCCCAGCGGAGAAGCTGAGACCAGAACAAGAGTTCAGTGACTTCCTTAATTCCTAAAATAAATGGCGCTCTGGTCCATTTTCAGGCATACTCTCCAGCACTCCTGTGGACATCAACTGCCATCACATTTTAGAGAATGCTTTCAACTCCAGCTTACCTGGAAACACAACCAAAGTGATATCTTGTTGCCAAAGTCTACTGAGCAGGTATTGTTTTCTTGATTATAATTTCTTTATTTTATTTTATTTTATTTATTTATTCAGAGTCAGGATTTCACTGTGTTGCCTAGGCTGGAGAACAGTGGCTCAGTCACAGCTCACTTGCTGCCTCAAACTTCTAGGCTCAAGCGATCTCTCCACTTCAACCTCCCAAATAGCTGAGACTACAAACACACGCCACCACACACGACTAATGTAAAAAAACTTTTTTTGTAGAGATGAGGTCTTGCTATGTTGCTGAGGCTGGTCTCAAATTCCTGGCCTCAAGCAGAAATCAAGCACTCCTAAAGTTCTGGGATTACAGGCGTGAGCAATCATGCCTGGCTGATTATAATTTCTTTATACTCCATTATGAATGATCAAATAAGACCTAAAGACCTCATCCACTTATTTTTATATCTTTATATCTCTTAGTTTACTTAAAAGTGAGAACTTGTGTAATAATTCTAACCCTCTTTCACTTAGACTTTTCTCAGAGAATACTAGAAACTGTTATACTAGCTAGTGCTGTTCAAGCATGTAATATGTACCCAGTTGTACATCAGGCACTTTGTATGAATTAGCTCACTTAAACCTTGCAATTATTATGTAAGTTGGGCGCTATCACTTTTTTTTTTTTTGCGTTTGACAAAACTGAGGTTTGGGAAGGCTGTGTCTACTTAAACAAGATTAGTGCAAGCACAATCAAGATAAAAAATTCAGGTCTGGCCGGCTCGGTGGCTGAGCCTGTAATCCTGTGCTTTGGGAGGCCAAGGTGAGTGGATTGCCTGAGCCCACGGGTTTGAGACCCGCACCGGGCAACTTGGTGAGACCTCATCTCTACAATAAATCAAAAATCAGCTGGGCGTGGTAGCGTGTGCCTGTAGTTCCAGCTACTTGGAAGGCTGAGGCAGAAGGATCGCCGGAGCCCAGCAGGTCGAGGCTGCGGTGGCCGGGAGCATGCCACTGCACTCCAGTCTGGGCGACAGAGTGAGCCTGACTCAAAAAAAAAAAAATTCAGATCTATCTGTCCACAAAACCTATGCCCTGGACTGCTAACCTCTAGTGCCTCCCTTTCAAGGAGGTCAAGGCCATCCAGACAACATGATAGTGGGCTCTCATAGACAAGAGGCTACTAGTAGCGCATGCCTCCCCGCCCCACCCCCACCACTGTACAATTTCTGTTTGTTTGTGAATTAGAGTCTCACTCTGTCACCAGCAGTGTGCAGTGGCACACTCACAGCTACCGCAGCCTCGACCCGTTGGGCTCAGGTGATTCTTTTGCCTCAGCCTTCCATGTAGCCGGAGCCACAGGCGCACGCCACCACACCCAGCTAATTTTATTGTAGAGATGATGTCTCACCAAGTTGCCCAGGCCAGTCTTGAACCCCTGAGGTCAGACAATCCTCTCACCTCAGTCTCCCAAAGCGCTGAGATTACAGGCACGAGCCACCACGCCAAGCTAACCCTTGTACAATTTCTGTTTGCAAAATCAATGTTCCCATCCCAGATGCCTTCAATGTGCAAGCGTTTTATAAGGATTGAGTCTATCCTTTCTTTGTTTGTTCTGAAGGAAATAGGCGGAGTCCTTGCAGACACCCAGAATCTAAGCGCCAAAGCTAATTCCTTAGTGCCTCAGTCCTTAACCCATCCTAACCAGAATGTGAGTGAGGAAGTTAGCTTCCTGCCCTGTGCTATTTTTAGTGTGTTATCTTTTGCTTACCTACTGCTCCTGCCATCTGAGGTTCAACTAACTGTTTCTTTCACTTTCCACCAGCACTATTGTCAAAGGTCCTGGCGAGGTCATCCCAGGAGGAAACCACAGCCTGTATTCTCTGAAGGGTTGCTGCAAGTTGTTGAATCCACCAACGTTTAACTGCAGTTGGATCCCTAATACCTTTTGAGTTCAGCCATTCGTGCAGTGGAATTCTGAGTACAGATGCTGAATTTTCTGCTTTGGAGGAAAAAAAAAACTGTCGTCCACAGATTGAGACTTCCATCATGGAATCAGCTTTGATCACAAGGAGAAGAGAAAAAGAGTGAATCCTTCAGAGCTACGTCTCCCTCTTCCCATTTCCTCCCAGTCCACCCCTTTTCTACTGAGAACTACTAGGATGTTTCAAAAGGAGGTGTTGTTTCCAGTCCCCCTGGTATTTTCTGGCCTTAGATTTTCAAGGCATTTCACCGGAATTCATTTATAAATGGCGGCTCCCAACAACTGAGTTCTGGCTCACCCACACCCACTTAGTGTGCTGACTGAGTCTCTAAGTAGTCCAGGGTGACCTGGTTTAAGCACATCTCAGAAGAGGCCATGCTGCATTCACCTGGCTTACCTGAAATAGCCTAAGCTTGAATCTCACATAAAAGGCAACTAATCCCACTCACTGGCTACACTCAGAAAGTCCTGAAGAAATCAACAGTCCTTCGTGAAAACACACAGACTATACCAAAACCAGGGTTTAAAACCTTTCTGCTTGGAGGATTCTATCAGTCAGCTTAAGCATAAATTATGCTGCAGTAACAAAAAACCCACAAACCTCAATGGTTTACAACTTTATTTTTACTCACATTACATGTTTGTATGGTCAATTTTTGCTGTAACCCCTGTTGTCTTCATTTCCAGGACCCAGACAAAAGGAGTAGCCCCTAGGTGAGGCATGCTAGGCTTAAGAAAGAAGAAAAAGAAAGGGCTGGGGGAACAACATGATGACTCTTAAAACTTCTGCTAGGAAATGATATCTTTGACTTCCACAATATTCCTTTAGCCAAAGCAAGTCCTAGGCTAAGCATGATGTCAGTGCCCTTACATGACTTATCCTGTCATTGGGAGCAACAGGAATATTTTGCAGATATCATATGATACACCACCAGGGTGCATGATGTTTATGTCTCCTTCTGAAGAGCCATCTTGCTGTGGGGCATAATTATGGATCTCTCATGTGCAAATCTGGTAACATGTTCCTGGTGACAAGACCAGAAAACAGCTACTCTTCAGTCAAAAAGCCAGGTAATGACCAGTTGAGGAAAAAAATAAGCCGTGGTTGAAATCTCAAAAACCTCCATTGATAATTCCATTGACCAGGAAGGCATCTGTATCAAACTTGACTAATGGGTGTCAGTGTCTAAGAAGAAAATTCCAGCGTCAATGTGGAGTGCTCTTTAATGAAATGCTCATCACCGTTGCTCTTAATAGCATAGAGATCACATTGTGTGAGAAAACACAGACATCAAGGCTGAGTCAAAAGGTGATTCACAAGAAAGAGACTCCAGATGTGAAAAAGGTTTTAAAATACCTTAAGTAATTTATTTTGTTTATATTTTCTGTTCATTCACAAGAGTAAATTTTTTAAAAATCTATGTATAGACAGGTGGAGGTTTTCACTTTTTGTGTGTGTGTGGTAGTGAAGAAAGAAGCTAAATACCCAAATAATTCTTTACCCCGAAGTACAATATACTAAAATATTTCTAATTATTGGTCATTTGTATTACTTTTCCTTGAAACTCAATATGCCCTTTCAGTCTTTAGAGCTTATTTTAGAAAAATGTATTTGTATATCTTTCTGCCATTCTTGGTGATTGGTGTCAGGCTTCATAAAACCCCATGGCATAGTGTATATATGTGTTATTCGAATCATTCCCCTATGGACATGCATTTATTTTGTTTATAGGTTTTGGCTTTGGGCTTCTTTTCTTCCTACCTTTTTTTTTTGGAAACAGAGTTTCACTCTGTCACCCAGGCTGGAGTGCAGTGGCATGATCATGGCTCACTGCAGCCTTGAATTCCTGGGCTCAAGCGATCCTTACTTTTTAATCTCCCATGTTAATGGGACTACAGGCACATGCCAGTAAGCCCAACTAATTTTGTAGAGATGAGGTCTTACTTTGTTGCCCAGGCTGGTCACAAACCCCTGGGCTCAGGCGATCCACCTGCCTTGGCCTCCCAAAGAACTGGGATTACAAGTGTAAGCCACTGTGCCTGACCTCTTTTATTCCTACTTTGAACTTTACATACTGGTGCTTTGTGTGTGTGTGCGTGTGTGTGTGTGTGTGTGTGTGTGTGTGTGTGTGTTTGTTTGTTGGTTTTTTTTGAGTTGGAGTCTCACTCTGTCGCCCAGACTGGAGTGCAGTGGCCACTCCCGGCCACCGAAGCCTCGACCTGCTAGGCTCTGGCGATCCTTCTGCATCAGCCTTCCAAGTAGTTGGAATTACTGGCGCACGCTAGCGCTACTACACCCAGCTAATTTTTTGATTTATTGTAGATGAGGTCTCACCAAGTTGCCCAGGCAGGTCTTGAACCTGTGGGCTCAGGCAATCCACTCATCTCAGCCTCCCAAGGCGCGGGATTACAGGCTGAGCCACCAAGCCGGATACTGGTGCTTTTATTTACCATAGCAATGCTATCTGATAGAAATATAATGCAAGTCACGTGATTTAAGATTTCCTAGTAGCCAGGTTTTTTTTTATTTTTTAGTCTGTGTCTCACTCTGTTGCCCAGGCTGGAGTCAGTGACACCATCATAACTCATCACAGTCTCGACCTCCTGGGCTCAGGTAATTCTTCCACTTCAGCCTCCCAAGTAGCTGAGACTACAGGCTCGTGCCATCATGCCCAGCTAATATTTTTGTTTTTTTGTAAAGACAAGGTCTCACTATATTGCCCAGGCTGGTTTCAAACTCTGGGCTCAAGCAGTCCTCCTACCTCAACCTCCCAAAGTGCCAGGATTACAGGCGTGAGCCACTGTACCTGGGTGAAGATATTATTTTAATAAAATATTTTACATTTATATCTAAGTAAGTCTTCAAAATCTGGTTTGCACATCTCAATTGAGACACTAAATTTTTACTGGCAGTACTTAATCTATTTTTAGACTTCATGAAATTAAATTTGAGTGAAATTTAAAATAAATTCACATACCTACGTTGTCCTAAACATGCTTAAAAGTTTTTCAATAACTGAAATGAATATCAGTTTTAAATTTAAATTAAAAATTTAGTTACCTGGTTCCTCCTTATTTCAAGTACTAGTGGCTATCGCATTGGGCAGAGCAGTTCCATAGGATGACTTCCTAGATGAAGTGTGTGTATATTTTTGATAGTATATGGTGACAGATTGCTTTTTGGAAAAATATGCTGTCTTAACTTTGACCTGCTTTGGTATGGCCTTTCTGATGTGTTTTATTCATCTACCTCTGTGTATATATGTGATATTCCTTTTTTTCTCTTATTTTGTTTTACTTATTTATTTATAAGTCAAGGTCTCACTCTGTTGCCCAGGCTGGAGTACAGTGGCACAATCATGGCTCACCACAACCTCAACCTCCTGGGCTCAGGTGATCCTCCTGTCTCAGGTCCCCAAGTAGCTGGGACTATAGACAAACGCCACCATGTCCAGCTAATTTTTAAATTTTTTTGTAGCTATGAGGCCTCACTATATTGCCTAGGGTGGTCTGGAACTCCTGGCCTCAAACAATCCTCCTGCCTCAACCTCTCAAAGTGCTGGGATTACAGGAGCAAGCCATGGCTCTGGTCTGATGTTTCTTTTTTTTTTTTTTTGAGTTGGAGTCTCAATCTGTCACCCAGACTGGAGTGCAGTGGCCACG